AGTTCTCAGGTCTTGGCCATAACAGTAGTCTTTTAATACTATGATACTAACATACAGTTTCTCGTTGTAGGCTCGTATTTTCAGTTATCTTACAATTGATGATGGTGAAGAATTCCCAGGACGACTTGCCTGTGAAAACAGAGGAAGCATGAAGAAACTTCTGAGTGGGAATAACCTAATATCACAAATGAACAACTATTTTGAGTTTTTATCGTCCAACACTGAGGGTACGCAAGGTCTGTGGACATCCCCTTATTTGGATGCCTGGGGTCTCGGATTAATGGTTACTGTAGCAATACCTGCAGTTAGTAAAATTTCAAACAAGTGAGTTTAGTATCTAAATCATATATAATCTAAAATCTTTTTTTTTTTTTTTTTAGCTAGCTTGTTATTGAAGTTGATCCAAGATTCAACAGAGAATCTGATTGAATATTGATTTCTCTAATTCATTCATATTTACATTTCTTTTAAATTTGCTTGTAGCCAGTTTATTTGTAAAAATATAATTTCTGCATTAGGCCAGACTTTTTTTATTCCTTGTTTCTCGAGTTTTTATAAGGCAATTTTTTTGAGGAGGGCGAAAATAAAATAAAATTAATTCTTTTTTTTCCATTAGATTTGTGTGATTCTCAAAGAATTGTAAGTGAGATCATTGATCGGAGAGAAGAAATGAAATAAAATTTTATTCCATGTATAACCTTGTTTCTCATCTGCGCGAGACTTCGGTACTTTGATCATGATACTCCCACGAAAATGCAACTTGGATTTGTTATGCGGCGGGCGGTAAAAAAATGAAGATAAAAATAATATTTTTTTAGCATTTTTTTGCACTTACAAGTCGGCGGGCGAGAGAAATTACGCTGAAATAAAATTTTATTTTTATTTTATTTTCGGCTCCTGTTCATTCGGCGGGTTCGCGAAACAAGGGATAATAAAAGTCTGGCCTTATATTAAAAAAATTAATATATTTATTTGCTTTGCCATGAAGTAAATAATAGAAGGGTTTGATTAAAGCAAATGATATACAAACTAGTACTAACAATAAAAGTAATATTAATCATTATAACAACCAAATCTTCTTGTCAGGTTCCCAGGGATAGGAGTTGAGAACAAGATTTAATTCAGTTGAACGTTTTATTTCTCTTAGGGTTATTGGAGTGGCTGGTATTGATGCTACATTGGAAGAAATTGAGAATCTGATTGTCAATGAACAGTGGGGAAGTGTGTATGCATTTCTGGTGAACAACGAAGGAGAGACAATCTTCCATCCTCTCTTGAAACCAAGCAGTAAGGTGAGATGTCTATGTAATTAAAACAGGCCTCAATGTCAAACATCCTAGCAGTTTTTGTCAGTGTTTGTCAAAAATCAGAAGGTCATTTATTCATATATCCCCAAATAAACCCCACCCCACCCAACCCCACCCCCTGACATGAAAGAAGGATAACTTTGATTTTGATATGGATGTCATTAGTAATGCATCAAGGGCTTCATTAGTCATCCGTATTTCATTATAGGTTTCAATTTTCTTTAAAAGATGATTTAGAAATTTTCTATATTAGGAACCCCCTTCCCAAATATCACACTATTTAAAGTGCCACCTTTTAAATTCATGTAATTGGCTTGTTAATTTTGAGAGAAATATATAGTTCTGTGATAATTTTTGTCAGTTATTTATCAGAATCATACATGCAAATATTTGTTGCATCATGCAATGAATGGTTTATTGTGTTCGTGAGGAATAACAGTGTACTTGAACATTTTTAATAGGGAACCTTTCAGTCCCAGGCATTGCACCAAGTACTTATGTGTAATTTCAATTCCAATTCCAACACAAGGCATCAGTCCTGTATATATTGATTATTTTTCCCCAGTTTCATTAATTGCCATTCATTAAACAACAAGCAACAACTGATATAAACTTCTTTTGAAAGCATTATGTAACGCACGTTTCATGACCAATAATATACCTGCAATTTTGCTAAAACTACTAAAACATTGAAATCTACACCCTTTCACAGATTTTATATTCAGGTTCGAAAATTTTAAAGCAATATGTAACAAAATTGGATTTGTGTAAATGTGCACAGAGAACCAAAATTGTTTTGTCTTTGTGTCATCGGTAACTAACAAGTGCAATTTTCAATTCTACATGCATCCAAATTTATAATACCATATTCTATGAGGGATCAATCCTCCACCTTGAATACAGTTGCACAAATGTAAATTTAGGCATGAATTCTAGACAAAATAACTCAAAATAGCGTGAAACAATATGGGCCTATTTTTCAGTTGCAGTTTTGTTTCCCCTTTAACTACTTGAAACAAAAGAATCAGTATGTTGAACCTATGATAGTGTATGTTACTTAAAAACAGCAGCATCATGTAGTTTAAAAACAAAAGAATCAGTATGTTGAACTCATGAGGGCATATGTAGTTTAAAAATCAGTATGTTGAACTGATGATGGTGCATTTCTCTTTTTCAGTTAGTGGATGATCCAATCTTTATTCCAATCTCCAAACTGGAACAAAGAGATGGTAAACCTGCAGCATTTGCTGAAGTAGAGGCTGCAATGAGAAGAGGAGAAAGTGGGTCTAAAACAATTGAAGATGCTTATAGAGGTTTACCTAAGGTTAGTACGCAAAAACTTTATATGCTATATTCACATCCATGGATATGTCAGTCTTGTGTTTATTGGCAGTCTCACTGTGACATCATTTGTTTACATTTTTAATGAGTTTTGGTGTGTCTATCTGTGTGAGCAAAATCTGATTTGATAAAATTTAGTTCATAGGTACCTTAAGGTAATGTGCAGGCGTGATTAGTTTTAGGACCATATTCATGCATATTAAGTAGCTAATTTGCATATTACTTATCTCTTTTCAGCCTGTTCAAACAAGAAAGCAATTGTATGATTCGGCTCAATATGATGTGACAACATTGTGTTTGAGTTATTTTATTAGCCTCAATTAATAATTAACAGCAAAATACTGATAATTTTATATTCATTGTCAGCCCGTCATGTTACACCAACTACATGTATGGAGGATGATTTTTCAGACCTTATATGGTATTTCATTACCAAATATGGTCATATTGATGTATATCAAGTGTGCATCACCTTTCCTCATTCTCTGTCCAAAACTTTAGCTACATTTCTCTCAGAACTTAAATAATTATATTTAAGTAGTCTTTCTATTCTAACAATCCTACTAACCATGGTCCAAAGCATGTTTTTTTGAAAATGCTCAAAACGAATGTATATAATACTAAAACAATAAATAATTAGACATATTTTTCTATGAAACTATTTTCATCTGTCATCCATTCCATTGTGAATCTCCAATTCAATTATAATAGTGTACTAATACTAGTATAATTTGATCACAAAATATTATACAAACTGTAATTATGCTGTGAATGCTAACAGCTCTGATACCAGATTGTCACGAAGTTGTATCAAAAAAGCCGAAGCTTATGCAATAGCTGTACTGTAGGTTCCTGTTGGTGCACCACTGTCTGTGTACCATAAAATGTAATATTTGGATTTGTGGCATATATCTGTTTTCTTGTAGGGTGATTTTGCTGATGGTGTCAAGTTACTACAGCAGCCAGCCACATACTACTACACAGCACTGAATGCTTCAGTTTATGCATTTGCATTCAATTTAGCAGAGTCTGATTCAGTAAGTCAGTCTTATTTATTAGTTGCTCTGTCATAAAAAAATGACAAAATGGCGGTGTTCATATAATATGTGATTGTATGTTGTCAATGGCATTCATCCACATCAACGTTTGCTGTAAATAAATGACTTCTTCTTGAAAACTACTAACCTGATCGCTTTTAAATATGTCTATTCATTTCATGCTTGATATCATCAATTCTCAGTTTCAATAAATATTCTTGTTAAAAACTTGTATTTTTGACTTCTTGAAAACTATCAGCCCAATTGCTTTGATAATTGATGTTTAGTTTAATACCATGGATATACCTATATCAGAATTGATCATTTCATAACTATATTGTTAGATCTGTATTTTAGTGTATTTTTTGGTCGTTCTGTTTTCACTTTGTAGTGGATATTATTTAAAAATTGATATCAACTGCTTCTTGAAAACTACTGGGTTAATTGCTTTGGTACTTTCTCCATGACAATAAGTACATAAGCTGACACTTCATTATAACAGTAACCATGACAAATAACATTTAGCTAATTTTCATTTTACATAACTTGATCAACTGCTGTATCAAGAAGTAATTCTTATTAGGGATAGGAATTAAATAGTAAAAAAAATAATTTAAGAATATTACGTTGTGCCTAGTAATACAGTGATTAACTAATATCTAGTCAGTGTATATGGAATTTCACTTAATATGTTCATTTACAATAATGTCATTTATTGCAGGAATTCAGAAGAACTCATGAACCAGAGGAGAGTCTTCGTAAGACTCTGCCGACATCCATCTTTAATCTTATTATAAAATATGACTCTGAACTTGCTAGACAAAAACTTCCAGGTACGAATTCTACTATAGCCAAAACCTGAAAGCCAAAGATCATTCTCTTTTAATTTGAATTTTAATCTCAAAATGTTGCTCTGTGATATGAGATGAAAAAACTTGTATATAATTAATACAAATTGTTGTTGTGAAAACACAGCTAAACATTGTTGTGTTAGGTATTAGTTTCATACATTGAATGTGACTGTTATTTCTCCTGACTTTTTAAGATGCATTGACCTCTGTGCGTGCATCCTCCACCTTTGTGATGGACATGGCTTGACCAATCATATTCAAACTTCACACATACATCATGCATCTTGAGATACATATGGATCTCAAATTGTTTTATGATCAGTTCCAAGATGGCCGAACGACAGTCATTTCATTGGTACATTTTCATTAAAAATCAAGCATTTCTGCCATTCCAGAATTGTATGTCAGTTGTGTATTCATGGTTTTTGTTCAAACTTGGTATGTACATTATGGGATTTTGATTCAAAATAGCCAACTGGTGGCCATTTTGTTTTAAATAATGCAGCTGTTCCAGGTTTTGACTGGGTCTGTCGTCTGGTACAGAACCACAACGCTACCAATGATTATTTTACCTTTTCTCTCTTGCAGGATTGTTCGAAAAGATGAAGGTTGAATATAATTTACCGAAGTATCCACAATTACGAGTGACGTATCTCCATTCCTCCTTCATGTTGGCACCAAAATGTTATTGCGATCCCAACTCGTATCTTTTCGATGAAGACTTGGCAAACAAAACTGTGACAGCTCACCTGTTTATGAATGGCAACGAGACTGCCAAAGACTGCCCTAACAGTATATACGAGAAGAATATTAGGTAGGAAATCATTACTAAATATGAACTTGAACTTGAGATAAGCTCCAGCTGCTTTCATGCATAATAATTAGTTTTAAACCCTAAAGTAGTTTACACCCAAAAAATGGCCTTGCAAAATGACTGCCATGGCAATAGGATTTTTAGTTTGCTGTTTGCTGCATTAGACCAAAAAAAAAATGTTTTTTTTTGCCCTCAGCGACCGACCGAAAAATATGAAATATAGGGTCAGGTTTATTTTTCCAATATACCTCGGCTATTTACGATACCCTTAGTTTTCACGAGTTTAAAAAAAAAAAAATTTGACTGATCGACTCACTTTTTCAATTTTACGACTTGAGGGCAACATAAAGTTGTTGTTTGTTGGCCTTACTAAGAGTTCATCATTGACAGTAAAAAAAAAAAAATGATTTCATAACCAACAATTCATGAGCATATTTATCTAATTTCATTTGCCTCAGAGATGAATGGACACACCCATCCAGAGATGTCTTATTGATACCAAGCTGCTATGAATTACATTTCATTAAACTTTATGAAATACATAATGCTTATTATTTGTTGATTCTAGTGTGTTTGTCAGAATCCCAGTACTGCACAAAACATAAGGGCAAATTAACAGCTTCTAAGGATGGTATTCCCAGAATATTTACCAGAAAGATAAAACTTTAATTCTCAACAACGATGAAAGGACCAGTTACTGCGACAAAGCCCTACTTCCTGCGAAAGCCACCTAATACGAAACCCACTTACCGCAAAAGCGACTTAATATCGCGAAGCTACTAGATTCTGCATACAATAATACACCTCTGTTGTGAACTATTTTAATTAGGAGAGACAAACAGGAGTCAGGAAGAGTTACAGTAAACTTGTCACATGTTGTCTCCTATTCATGAGAAACCCTAGGTACACTAAAAATTATTCATTGATACACTCTGGGCACATTGAATATGTTCATTTTCAATGAGACTCCCTAGAATTATATGTTACATGTTGAGACCCCCTATGTTTTCAAAAGTTGTCTCTCAGCAATTCAGTTTTCCATTCTCTTCTAAATAAAAAATAATAGCTGTTCAAATATCTTATTGCCTATGCTCGAACCTGGGCAATAGGAATCAGGGAGGTTCTGGGTCCCACCCCCAAAGCTGACACTCAGCAATATAAATTACAGTAGAGTACAGCCTTCCAGACATGGAGGATTATGTTTAGAATACTGGTTTGCACATACACCTGCAGTTAGCGTCTAAGAAAAAAAAAGTCTTGAAAGACAGAGATACACAGAGATGTCCAGAAATGTCACCTGACACTAAAATATTTAAAATGTTACAATGATATTCAAACTTGTAACCTTTTTAGACCAGAACATATTTCATATTTTAGAAAACACTTAACAAACTTAAACAAATCTTTGTTGCAGAGCTGATGTACTGATAACTTCGCAAATTGAAGAAATATGGAAAACTCGTAAGTTTGACTTGCTGGATGATGTGAAATGGACATATATTGGTTGTCGTAGTGGTGTATTTCGTACGTATCCAGGTCATCGATCAAGAAGAACATACGACCCGACAAAGTAAGTTGTAATGTGTGTTTTTTCTCATTAATTGCCAGAAAAAATTGTGATCACTGACGGACAGCTGTCCTCATTGTGCAGCTGTTTAGAATTGAGTAAACAAACTCAGCCAATCATCAGACAGAATCTTTCTTTTTCTCATGCTGAAAACAAAAATATTTACTGTTCTAGCACAATTTCTATTGGACGTTTTTTTCAACAAAAGCCTCCTAATTTGCTTAAATCTCATTGTGAGGATTTATAACAACAATATTGATCCAATATGTGCTGTGGGAGGTTCATTATTGTTTAACATTTTTACCAACAATTCAAAACAGTTCCATTTATAGTCTGCACTTTCCTTCAGAAGATTGTGACAAAAATAGTCGAGTTTTTTGAGTAAAAACTGAAAATTTACTTAAATTTTTCCAGAAATATAAGAACAAATTACAGAAATATTTGGATGAGAAAGTCTGGTGGTGAAAAGATTAAATAAACCTAATATAAGTATGCATATTGATTAGCAAATTTGCATACCATTTGCATATCATTTTGATTGGACTTATTGTATGTTTGTTTCTACACTACTTGTACAAACATAATTTGAGAAAAACAAGCAGCTGTGACCAAATAATTTTTTTTAGCAATAACTATTTTAAATTATTGATTTATTGTTATATTAGGCGTCCATGGTATCATCGCACCATGACCAACCCAGAAAAGACAGCCATATCCACAGCGTACATGGATGCAGCAGGTGTTGGCAAGATTATTAGTATATCACAAGCTATATTTGAAGGAATGCCTTTGAGAACTCAAGAAGAGTGTGATATGGTTGAAGGTCTTAAACCAGGAGGATGTGTTTGTGAATCTTATGAAGAATGTTTATCAGGTGAGTAATTTGCACCTTTTAGGCCAAAATTAAAAACCCCATACGCTGTAATGTAAAATTTGGAAAAGTAGACGCAATAGGTGATTTTCTCTTCACTGTGATATCTCGCATAATGTGTGAAAGAGATATATCGGAAATCAAATGATTTAATTTTCAACTTGAATTACTTTTTTTGATTGTTTAAGGTAGAGATGCAGTTTATTTGTGAATTTCAATCAAAAATAGTTTTTTTCGTTTTTTATATAGATTTTTATCTAAAGAACATTCTGTGAAAATTTGACCAATGAATTCTTATTGGAACACCATTAAAATTGCTGTTTATTTTCTGGTTAAAAATAAAAAACACTCACACGTGGCAATGTTTATGTCCAATTGCCTAATTTGCATGAGTAAGCAAATAACAGGACCTTTGATTGACAATATGCATATCGAGATTGTACGGGTCATAGTTCATTCAATTCACGCGCATGTGCAATTATTCTCGAATCAGTTATTGCTCGCTAGCAAACC